CTTGAGCCCAGGAGTTGGAGGTTGCTGTGAGCTGTGATGCCACAGCACTCTACCCAGGGTGACAGCTTGAGGCTCTGTCTCAAAAAAAATAAATAAAATAAAAAAATTAAAATAACCATCTGAGTCCAAAGTTAACTTCCAAAGGGAAAGAAAAATGACAACTCCAAGAGTTTTTATCAGAAGGAAACAGATTTAGTCACAGATTTTGAGTTATCTAGAAAGAAAATAAAAAGGTGCTGAAGGTCATTACTGCATTCTATATATGAATGCCCTGTCCCCCAAAAGATTAAGACTAAATTACCAGAAAACATTGGAAAAATGTATGCAGGACATTAAAGGAAAAAAAAAAGCATCTATTTGTGGAAGGACAGAGGAAAGACATAATAAAATATCTCCAATCACTAGCTTAGGTAAGCAACTATTTCTTGAGGTGCAAGGGATGAGGAAACAAAATGAGTGGACACTACAGATTAAGAATGTTGAGGAGGAAGGCAGAGGGCACAAAATGAATAAGAAGGTCTGGACTCCCTTATAAGGCCAAGCTTGCAAGATAACACCCCCTTTTCAAACCTCAAACTTACTGTTCCACCAGGAAAAAGTGAAGGTTGTAGAAATTACAATTAAAACAAAATATACAAAAAATGAGAAAGGCTTCATGTGGGCAAATCCCAACATGGAGGAAGAAAGCAAAACTATGAAAAAAGAATATACAAACTAAGACTGAGTAAGGAGCAGAGAAATACGGAAGGGAAGCCTGCTGAGAATAGAGACAATGAGGGCGTAGACCATGTACACGTCAACCACCACTCAATACACAGATTTTAATATAAAGCACAAAAACGCAAAAATAACACCTAGATTATGGTAGTAGAGGAAGTGTACACAGAAACTGCAAGACCGTTCAGCATCCTGCAAGAGTTTGCAGGGACGCGGTGGGGCAGTGGGGATGAAGGAATAAGGAGGGGGAGGGACCGCAGCAGGGGAAGAGAGTGGGTTGCAGCAGCAGAAGTCGCCTTAAAAAAAGAAGGACCGGAAAGCAACCTAGTGGAAAGAAAGACCAGGGTAAGTCAAGTACGGAATCACAGGAGAACAAAGTAGAAGTGAGAATGGAGGTAGGCATGCCCTAAAAAAGTGAACTGGTCAAAGACCCAACAACGCCTCGTAGTTGGGGGTGGGTGAGGTTGTAGGAGCCAGCAGAGCTCTATCGCAAACCTGGCGCGGGAGAAGTGAGTACAGCGCAGGGCGAAGACCTCTACTCAAAAGTAGAGTGTAATACCGGGACAATTGAGTAGAAAAACTATGTCGAACCTCGCGCGCCCTCCCCCAAAAGGTATGCAAGGGTCAGAACAGGTATATTCTCGGAGTATGAATACTAAAAGGAGGGGAGGAAAGCAGCACACGAAAGGATGGCAAAATTTAGAGGGTGCCTAACCATAAGGAGAAGGTAACTAAGGGAAGAAAAGGAGCGGAGTGGGAAGGGATAATGTTTCCGGGAAAAAAAAAAAACAGGCGCAGACCAGAGGTCCGGCTTACTTGGTGTGGAGGGCAGTAGAGACAAGTCCACTGGGGCTGCGCGAGGTGGTGGGGAACAAGCAACTGATGCTAAAGACGAGAACTTGGGAGGACGTGGACCTGGCTTGGTCAGGGCAGAAGAGATTGGCCAGGACGAAGACGAGGGGAGTGGGGAGCAGATAGCAACATGCCAGACTGGAAAGCAGAGGGGCGGAGAGAACCCACAGGAACCCCGGCAGGGGTAAACGCAACGGGGGCGCAAGGACAACCAACGCAGAGGGGAGGCGGGAGATGAACAAAGTCGGGATGGGGAGAAAAGGGCGAGCCCTCCGGAGGTGCCCGGGGGCCGCGGCCTGAAGGGGCTGGGGTCCCGAAAGCCGATTCAGGGTGGGGGAGGTGCGGCCTGGGGATGACAGGGGCAGAGGGAAAATGAAGGGAGGGGCGCGGAGAGGGTGGGACAGCGGCCGCCCCGATACTCACACCTCCAGGATGCGGTCCCCCTTGCGCACCCCGGCGCGATCGGCCGCCCCCCCGGGCAGCACGGCGCTCACATGCTGCAGCGGCGCGTACAGCTCCCCGTTGATGCTCCGCAGCTGCCCGCCCTCGCTCACTTGGCCCCGCACGTTGAAGCCGTAGCCGGACTCGGACTTGACTATGCGCACAACCCGCGGGCCCCCGCCTCCCCCGCCGCCGTTCCCGGCACAGTGGAGCCCAGACCCCCCGCCGCCGCCGCCGCCTCCGTTCCTGTGAGGGGCCGAGGGGTGAATCCCTTCGCCGTCCTCGTCCGCCATCTTGCGAGCAGGCGAGCCGTGCCCCCGCCCCCCTACGCCTCCACTCCGTCCCAGAGCGCGCTCGCCCTCCTCGGCAGCCGCGCGACCCCCAACGTGCGCGCCCGCTCTGCCGGCGGCGGGACCGAGTTGGCCACCGAGCTGCGGGCGGCAGGGCAAGTGGAGGCAGGGGCGAGAGAAAGCGGGCGGTCGGGCGCCGCGGGGCCTCCCGGGAAATGTAGTTTCTGCGCTGAGGGGGCGGAGCGAGGGCTGGGCCGCGGCCAGAGCGGAGGTTGTGTCATGCAGTGCGGGAGCAGGGCCTGCTGGGAGTTGTAGTTTCTCTTTACTGCTCTATTAGGAACTGGGTCTTCTGTTGGTGGGCCAGTGTCTAACCCAGCAAACCAGGGTGTGAAAATAATTCAGCTGCTGATGAGGGGCAGGTTTTTTTTAGTTCTCGTTCACGTCAAACCTCTAAAAACAATTATGTTAGGATAAGTTGACTTTTGTGACCCTATACAGTGTCAAATTATGTTAACTCATTTGTTCAGTAACTTCTGTTCCCAAGGCCCCTACAATCCCTGAGACAACTGGATCATGAATTAGCTTCCATATTTCACGTATTAGAAAACTAAACCGGCTCGGCGCCTATAGCTCAACCGGCTAATGCACCAGCCACGTACACCTAAGGTGGCGGGTTCGAATCCCCAGCCCGGGCCCGCCAAACAACAATGACAGCTGTAACCAAAAAATAGCCGGGCGTTGTGGCGGGCGCCTGTGGTCCCAGCTACTTGGGAGGCGGAGGCAGGAGACTCGCTTGAGCCCAGGAGTTGGAGGTTGCTGTGAGCTGTAATGCCACGGCACTCTACCCAGGGGGACAGCTTGAGGCTCTGTCTCAAAAAAAAAAAAAAAAGAAAACTAAACCTTAGAGTACCCTAAGCCATCCAGCTATTAACTATCAGGAACTAAGACCCAGTTATGATATATTTGCACAACTTTCTTGGCCTGTATGGCAACTACAATCACAAACTGGATAACGACATGTTGGTCTACAATGAACTGCAAATGGCCTGGTGGGCTCATAAGGGTATAAGGGAGCTGAAAAGTTCTATCATGGTGACATTATAATCATCACATCATAGTGCACACATTACTCACATGTTTGTCCTGATGCTGGTATAAACAAACCTTCCTGGATGCTAGTGGTATAAAAGTATAACACTCAGTACTTAATACCTTACAATAACTATGTTACTGATTTATGTATTCACTATACTTTATATTGTTATTTTAGAGTGTACTTATACTTATTAAAACAAAAGTTATGGCTTGGCGTCTGTTGCACAGTGGTTAATGCGCCAGCCACATACACTGAGGCTGGTGGGTTCAAACCCACCCCAGGCCAGCTAAACAACAATGACAATTATAACCAAAAAATACCTGGGCATTGTGGCAGGCGCCTGTAGTCCCAGCTACTTGGGAGGCTGGGGCAAGAGAATTGCTTAAGCCCAAGAGTTTGAGGTTGCTGTGAGCTGTGATGCCACGGCACTCTACCCAGGGTGAGATGGTGAGACTCTTGTCTCAAAAAAATAAAATAAAATAATAAATAAATAAAAATAAAAAGTTAACTGTACAACAGCCTGAGGCAGGTCCTTCAAGAGGTTTTCTTTTTTTTTTTTTTTTTGAGACAGTCTCATTTTGTTGCCTTCGGTAGAGTGCTGTAGCATCACAGCTCACAGCAACCTCCAGCTCTTGGTTTGGCCAGGGCCAGGTTTGAACCCACCACCCTCAGTATATGGAGCTGGGTCCCTACTCACTGAGCCACAGGCGCTGCCCCTTTCAAGAGCTTTTCCAGAAGAAGGCATAATTATCACAGGAGATTTCAGCTTCATGCATGTTATTGCCCCTGAAGACCTGTCAATGGGACAAGATGTGGGGGTGGAAGATAGTGATATTGATGATCCTAATTCTGTGTAGACCTAAGCTAATACTTGTGTTTATGTCTTAGTTTTTTACAAAAATATTTTAAAAGGAAATTTTAAAATTTTTAAAATAGAAGAAAGCTTATAAAATAAAGGTATAAAGAAAGAAAATGGTTTTGTGCAGTTATAGAATGTGTGTTTTAAGCTAAGTGCAAAGAAGTCAAAAGTTAAAAATAATTAACCGCTGGGCACAGTGGTTCACGTCTATAGTCTTAGCACTCTAAGAAGCCAAGGCGAGTGGATTGCTTAAGTTCAGGAGTTGGAGACCAGCCTAGGCAAGAGTGAGACCCCATCTCTACTAAAAATAGAAAATCTAACCAGCCATTGTAGTGGATGCCTTTACTCCCAGCTACTCAGGAGGCTGAGGCAAGAGGATCACTTGGCCCAAAAGTTTGAGGTTGCTATGAGCTATGACACACAGCACTCTACCCAAGGTGACAAAGTGAGACTGTCTCAAAAAAAGAAAGAAAAGAATTAAAAAGCTTATAAGGGGCGGCGCCTGTGGCTTAAGGAGTAGGGCACCATATACTAGAAGTGGCAAGTTCGAACTCAGCCCAGGCCAAAAACTGCAAAAAAGAAAAAAAGAAGCTTATAAGGTAAAAAAAAAAAAAGTCATAGTAATCTAACTTTAATTTATTATTCATGAAAGAAACATTTTTATAAATTTAGTATAGGCTAAATATACAGTGTTTGTGAAGTCTACTTAGCATACAGTGATGCCTTCTAATTTGCTAAGCACTCTCCTTGACTCACCCAGAGCAAGTTCTAGTCCTTCATGGTAAATGCCCTATACAAATGTTTCATGTTTATCTTTTATACTGTATTTTTAGTATATCTTTTTTATGTTCAGATACATATATAGCTACCCTTGTGTTATACTTGCCTATAGTATTCAGCACAGTAACATGTTATACAGATCTGTAGCCTTGAAGCAATAGGCTATACCATATAGCCAAAGTGTGTAATATCCTGTACCCTCCAGGTTTGTGTAAGCGTACTCTATGATGTTTGCACAATGAAATTGCCTAACAGTGCATCTCTCAAAACATACTCTCATCATTAAGCAATACATAACTGTATATAAAAACTATCCAAAAAGTATAGTTTATAGCAGTGGCTCACACTGCTATAATCCCAGCACTTTGGGAGGCCAAATCACAAGGATCATTTGAGGCTAGGAGTTGGAGACCACCCTGAGCAACATAGCAACACTCTATCTCTATAAAAACTTAAGAAATTAGCTTGGTCTGGTGGTGAACACCTACAGTTCCAGCTACTCAGGAGGCTGAAAAGGGAGGATCACTTGAGCCCCATAGTTTGAGGCTACAGAGAGTTATAATTGCACCATGGCACTCCAGCTCAAGTAACAGAGCAAGACCCTGTTTCTTTAAAAAAGAGAAAGAGAAAACATATGTAGAGAAGACCCTATGGTATCAGTGATTTAAAACTGGATATTAGAATGGCCAAGTAACAATTTGAATTTGGTAATAATTTTCTTTTTTTTTTTTTTTTGAAAGCTTTAAAAATGTTTTATTCTAAAAAGTTAAAATGCAGGTAGGCGCAGTGGCTCATGCCTGTAATCTTAGCACTCTAGGAAGGCGAGGGGGGTGGATTGCCTGAGATCAGGAGTTCAAGACCAGCCTAAGCAAGAGTTAGCCAAGCATTGTGGTGGGCACCTGTAGTCCCAGCTACTCAGGAGGTGAGGCAAAACAAACACTTGAGCCCAAGAGTTTGAAGTTGCTGTGAGCTATGATGCAGTAGCACTCTACCAAGGGTGACAGAGTGAAACTCTGTTCCTCCCCCCCAAAAAAAATTCATTTCCAAAGCACTGAAGAGAATTTGATTTGGTTTCCTGCACAAAATATTGCCTCATTTCCCCATTCATTGCTGGCCCCCTGAAGCTGTCAGTGATGTCTGTTGTGGATGCAGCTTCCTGTTCTTAGAGCAGAAATTGAGCAAATCATTTGCTATAACTGTAAAGATATGATACACAGACTTTGCATCGGGGTTATCTTTATCTTTCAAAACCAACAGAAATTAAAGTATCTTTGAGCTCAGATGTGAAATGAAGAATCAGAAGAAGAAACTTGAGGTAAGAGGTTCCACCCAGATTTCTGATTCCACTTAAACTAGTGAATTCTTTAGAAGCAGGTGGCTCCAAAGCTTTAGTCTTTAATTTCTTCCCTTTTCCATACTGATTATTTGACACACTGGAATAATCTTCTTCAAGTAAGTAGGCCCCCAAACACTGTGAACCTAATACTATCTGCCTAAAGCCCAGAGCCCTGGCCCAGCTAAAATGGGAAGCAGATGAACCCACCCCAACTGAATGCCCCGCCACGATGGTAGGAGAAGTTACCTTTATTTCAGATTCACTTTGTTTTCCTTAGCATACAATAGAGTTCTTTGCAAACAGGAGCGATTTAGTTTTTTGGCTGCGTATCAGAACACAAACTTGTGGATGTTGTACAGCATGCCCAGTGAAGGCAAGTGGAAGAATAAGAGTGAAATAATGAAAATAGCTTACTTAAGTAATTACTACTCAAGACTGGCATTTGATTTTACCCAACTGATAGGGTAATACATTCGTCTGTTACTGTTTCACAGATACTATAGAAGACACAAGATTCCTGGGTCAGAAACAAAGGATTATTACTCAGGACACAGGAAGCAACATGAAGTTTAGCATGTTTGTGTCAGTTACTCCTCTCCCCACAGGCTGGGGAGACATTCAAAGAACAACTCCCGAACTGCTTCTCCTCCCTGAACAACAACATTCTTTTAGAACAACAGCACACTTTTCTCCTCTGCCAAGTCACCTAGCCCCTGCATACTCTCCCTTTTATCTTTTGCCGGAAAGCACAGTAGCTTCTCCTCCCTAAAGTTAATCTTTACCCTATGTGCTAGATTCATGTCAAACAAAACTTTGTAAAGATACAATTTCACACTCAGTAAGCAGCTTTACTGAAATAAGTGACCTTGTTTAGATCTGTATAATAAAGCTGTTTTCAAGGTTTAGTGCTGGCTGCAGTTGCAAGCTGCACCAGTCCTCCTGATCCCATCATCTTGTCTCTTGTGTAATTTATCTTCATCTGTTGTGTGATGTATTTCCTCACTTCCCCACCATTCCCACTCTGATTCTTTCCCTCTCAAGCTGG